TAGCAAATCAAAGCAAATTCTTATATATTTACTTTGTATACCATAAAATTACTTTTAAAATTATGATAAACATCCTTTAAAAAAGAATCAACCTCATCTCCGACTCAAAAACACCCGTGCATTTTGCTTCCACTCGTTTTTCTTGTTGGCATGAAAGCTTCCTCAATTAATTCTTTTTGAATTATATAGAAAATACTGGTGAAAAGTCCCAGATATCACTACAAAAAAACAGACTTTAGGCGACGACTTTCGGCGGCGACAAAAAAAGTCGCCGCTGAAAGTGGACCTTCAACGGCGACTTTTTTTTGTCGCCGCCGAAAGTAGACTTTCAGTGGCGACTTTTTTAGTCGCCGCTGAAAGTTCGCTATTGAAACCAAGACTTTCAGCGGCGACTTTTTTAGTCGCCGCCGAAAGTTCGCCATTGAAACCAAGACTTTCAGCGGCGACAAAAGTGTCACCGCCGAAAGTGGACCTTCAGCGGCGACTTTTTTTGTCGCCGCTGAAAGTATAATATAATAATATATATCTTATTTTACAATATTAATAAACAAATTCAATTTGGCTCAGCGGCAAGAAGGTTGGACACGAAAGGAGGCGGTCACGAGTTCGAACCTGGAAGAAGACACATTTAAGGTGAAAATATTTAGATGATGACGTGGCGAGGAGGAGTGATGTGGCAATGACGTGGAGGTGGCTAGTGATGACGTGGCGGTCAGCGGTGATGACGTGGCATTGGTAAAGGCAATTCTTGTTAGGCATTACTTTCAGCGGCGACAAAAAAGTCGCCGTTGAAAACACTTTCGGCGGCGACAAGAGTGTCGCCGCCGAAAGTGTTTTCTGCTGCGACTTTTTTGTCGCCCCTGAAAGTGTTTTCGACGGCGACATTTGTCGCCGCTGAATCTTCTAAAAGTCGCCACTGAAAGTATCTTTTAGCGGCGATCTTTTTAGTCGCCACTAAAAGTTTTCAACCACGGCTGCTACGGTAACGACTTTTTAGCGGCGACTTGTCGCCGCAAAAAACTTTCGGCAGCGACTTTTGTCGCCGCTGAAAGTCAATTTTTTTGTAGTGTATTTAAAAACTTCATTAGTCAGAATGACCTAAATAAAAACATATCAAGCAAGAACATTCTATCACCACTTTTTTCCCAATTATATATGCAAACATGTCTACTATGTCTGGTTGAATATATAATGAACATGAAGAACATATATATACGAGTGCATGTAGGGTTTATATAAAAGCTGAAAGACACATGGCGGAATGAATCAGTCATAGTTATGTTGATGAGTTGGCATCATAAAATCCAGAGTTGACTTCTCTCTTTTTAACCATATGTTTATATGCTTTTGTCTGTGAAACGATAATGCTGCCTTTTCTTTTGGATTCAATACCCCACACACACATTTTCATCATATCAATATACATATTCTCTGTCCCAAAGGTTTATCAACTTCACCTGCTCTCTTTCCGTCTTTCTCATGTCACTTTTACCCTTTACTCATAAATTTTTTGATTGATTATCCATTCCTTTGACAACATTAAAATATTCCAATTTCGATATCTACACATATATTTTCCTCAATTTAGAGGGTGTTTGGCAATCTCCAAACTATGATTTCATAAGCACTTTTTCGCAAAACGAGGCAAATTCCTCTACATATTTACTTCATAAACCATAAAAGCACTTTTGAAACTATAGTTTGGTTCCTATCTAAACACCCTCTTAGTCATAAACAGGTCAATAGGGCCCACACCAGACACTCATTGTTTGTCTCAAACTAGTTAAACATAAGGACTCATGGCTATATAGTCTCCTAAATGGCGATCAGTAGTTTGTGGCTGGGAAAACCAAAGAAACCAAAACAAATACTAACTAGTATATACTAGTAGTTTGCTAGAGCTTACGGTAATTATGTTTCTCAAGTGAACCCAATTTGTTTGAATATATATAGGTTTTTGTAGTCTACCTTCCAAACCTACATATAGATATATGTAGTTCATTAATCAAGATTACTAAAATCATTTTATCTATCAGTTCTAATAACTTCATCAATTCCATCGACGTTGATTTATTATTCTTGAGTTTTGATGTCAAAATGGAGCAAGGTCGATATTTGTACATAGCAAGATAACATCCAACCATGTGGTTTACACTTGTTTCTTACTACACTACATTCCATCCCTCATGTTCCTAATTTTTTTTTTCCTCAAGTGACTATTCCAAGTTACTTTTATTGACTTAATACCCAGATATTGTAGCTAGCTATGTAGATGATTTGCGTGGTGTTTGAACTGCAAGTCTCTCTCTCTCTCTCTCTCTCTCTATAAATATATATACATATGTAAATATATATGATTGTGTTTTGGGCCATAGTAACGTTGGCTATTTGGTATTGTGTTATGGTTCCAAAGCCCAGTACTGCGGACGAATTAATCATGGGCTTGCAACAGAGGATAGCAGAACATATGATGTTCGCTTGTTTCATGACATTTCGTGTAAAAGCCAAGCCCCTTTTTTTTAAAAAAAAAAAAAATTTAGATGAGTTGGGTCTTAAAAATTTCTTAAGATCAGGGCATACTTTCAGATCGCCAACCAATAAGGTCTTTATATCAACAGTAAAATTCGAACTCACAATCTTATAGGTTATGAGCTAACTACTTACCAGTTGGATCAACTTTTGTTGGTGTCAGAGACAAACCTTTGCTATGTGAATGTTGTAACACACATTACAACTTCAAAGCAATCCAATGTCGTGAAACAAACAAGCAGAAATTCTAACGCAACAATAAAAATATAGAAACTCATCAATTCCAAGTCAATGCGCTCTCTCGTGTTCCACACCTCATGATTTTCTTCCTGCAGGAGCTAGCAGCAACACAAACTCATCATACATTCACACCCATCAATCCCTTCTTCTTCTTCTTCTTCTTCTTCGGTTACACCAAAACTTTCATTATATATATGCATATTCCAGCTCAAATATCTCCTCATTTTCTTTTCTATGAATTCAATCTTTAAATTTTGACTCGAAATTTAAAGATTGAGTCATTATAGTTTATTAAGTTAGGAATTGAGTTGTTTCGATTCAAGAAATTATAAGGATTAGGTTTTTTTAATTCAAAGTTTAGTGATTAAATCAATAATTGAGAGAAGATATCAATGACTGAAAGTTATATTTTCACATAATCTCTTAAAAAGAGTTAACTAAATATGTGTGCTAAAATTATTTTAATTTTGGCCAATACATATAAATACTTAAATGGTTGTTGAATGATATTTATGCTAAAAAAGGTATTTATACTTTTTAATTAAATGTGATTCGACAACTAACCAATATAGTATTACTTATTTTTAAAACGATTATATAGGCTTTTAAAATAAACAAGATTTTTTTTATAATTAACACATAATAAGAGGAATATAGTTTTTTTTTGTAAAAAAAAATTGTGGAATCTAACTTCAAAATAAGTATGTGGTTGAGTACAGGGATGTACGGTGTGTGTCCCCCTTTCCCATGGGAGTAGGTTAGGGGTAAACACATAATTAGGACTGCACATGGGCAGGGCTGGGTAGGGCAGGACCCTTGTCCGATGCCCAGCCCGAAAAATAAACGGGCTGAAAAATGCAGCCCATTACCCGCCCTTGCCCATGAAAAGCCCTAGTAAGTTTGGGCAGGATAAATGCGGGCTGGGCAGGGCGGGCTTCCATGCCCAGAAAATCAATATACTATATTATTTAACTAGTTATTTATGTTCTTCTAGATAATAAAATGTAACTTTATATTAAAATGGTAACTTGACTTTAATTTAGTTATTAGCAATTGATATATTATGAAACAACATTTTATAGTTGCTAAGAGGAGTAAACTATGAAAAACAAAAATGTTATTAGTATACTTTATTAAACTTGATTGCTTTTCTAGTTTTTAAAATTTCTTAACCAAATGTAAATATTTTTCCCCCCATAACTCCTAGATACTCATAAAAGCATGGATCAATTATACAAATTGCTAATAGTCATAATGTTTGCATTAAAAAAGAGAATGATTATACAAATTGTAGTAAATGATAACACGTTTACTTTCAAAATCATTTGAAAATAAATAAATATAATGAATATTGAATGTTAATTTAATAGAGTGTTTGATTCAGGAGATAAATATGAGACAAATAAAATATATATAAATAAAATTATATATATTTTTGTGGGCAGGGCCAAATGGGCAGGGCAGCATACCGTGCCCGATGCCCAGCCCAGCCCGACAATATGCCCAGCCCGAATATGCCCAATATATCTTTTGGGCCATTTTTTTCAGAACGGGCTGGGCATTTTTTTGCGGGCTTGGGCGGGCATAACGGGCCACTGGGCTCCTTGAACATCCCTACACATAATCCCCATGAAAATACTCCATAAATTATTTCTTTTTTTTTTTCTCCCTCTGGTATTATCCTAACCTCTTAGTCAGGCTGTTATAAATTCCAATTTCTAATTCAATGGGTCCTTATCCTAAACATAATTAATTATCCTTTTAATTCAACGTTTTCTTTCCCAGTCAGCATCCCTTTTTTAACTATAAGGGATAGATGATTCTAATTATTTCATTTAGCTTATTTGCATCATTGCATGCAGTTAATGGTACATGTTTTGGCCCATAATGGTAAAAATATTGAACTTTTATCATCATTCTTTCCTATGCTCTGTAAATGATCTAAAACAGCATGCGAATATTTAATTATTAACAAGCATCAAAATGAAATTTAAACGACAAATATGGTCATTAGCAACCATACAAAAAACTTTTCAGATTACCCTGTGGCTATTAAACATATCTGAAAAAATTCATGGGACATTCATTGGCTCCTTAACAAAGGCAAGATATTTACGAATTTATTTATATGTGAAAATCAGAAGGGACAGGCAAGTGACAGTTGAGGAATATTTGATCTTACGGAGATAATTTTGTCTGCCCTATGAATTTAATTTTTTTGGGTCTAAAGAGAGATAGTGGGATCCTTCTTCCCAACAGCACGGAGTGCCAAGTGCATTGGCTGAGAATTGGGTTGAAGAAGATTCACTCTACTAGCTTCAGCTTCCAAAATCCAAACTTTTTGCAATGGGGAGCAAAAGAAGTGCCAAAACAAAAACTTCCTTGATCCTTGTCTTTGTCATAGCGTTTTGTACCGTCGTCCCTGTCTTCGCTCGTCTTCCTTCTCCCTTCTCTCACCACCATGGTAATCGTTCTCAGCCCAAGAAGAATGTAAGTCTCTTTACCCTTTTACCCAAGATATGCGTATTCTGTCATGAGCAAGCATGCTTGATCTTCATTATTTCTGAAATTTAGTTTCTGGGTAGGGGGAAAGTAGGAAATGAACTTGCTATCGATGTGATCGTTGGAATCTAAATTGAATTTACTTTTTATTGAGCAAACCAGAACTGTTCGGCTGACGGGGTTCGCAGTTTTCTTCTTCATGATTCTTGTTTATTGCGGTTCAGAACCTTTTTACAGAGTTGTTTTTTTTTTTTTTTTTAATTTTAAGAACATTGTCAGCGAAATAAAACTGTAAATGAAATTTGAAGCTTATGCTCTTACTCAATCATATTTACCTTCTGCATCTTTTCTCTGGTAAGTTTTTCCGTCATTAGAAAACGGCGAGCTATTCTCTCTTTTCAGCTGTGCTGGATCCGTTTCATGAAAATTATTATCACATTTCACATGCGGTCTTCATGTTGAGGTGACTTGTAGCTTTTCTTTGTTTTGAGTTGAGTTTTATATCCTCTTGACCAAGTCCACTCTCCTGCATTTGTTGTCAGGTCAGCAGGAAGTTTGAGATCAGCGATGATATGTTTTGGAAAGATGGTCATCCCTTCCAGATCATTGGTGGTGACTTGCACTATTTTCGGGTGCTTCCCCAGGTATATATCTCATTGGCATTTCCCTGATTCATGAGGATGTTTGGCACTGAGCACGTCATAATTACTTCACAAGGAATGGCTATTCATTTTCTTCTCAATCCAATGGAAGCCACTATCCTTCGGAGTCATTTCTCACCTAAAACTACAATAGAGATAGGTAGTAATATTGGAAATGGGGGGCATCCATCCTTTTTGGCCCTAAGCCCATTCTTCCCTGGAGGCCTGGAAATGAGATTCTTATCTCTCTTCTTGTTCAAAATAAAGATAGAACAAGGGACTCAGTCACGGAAATCATTGCCAAAAGATGCAGAAATAAGTGATGACTTTATTAGAGATTTTTTCTTGAAAAATTATGATGGAAGAATAGTCTCTTTGTAGTTTCTTATCAGACATAATCAATATGATGCAAGATTGAGTGAAGTGTGAGCGATCATCATCTGTTGCAGTCATGCTCATTATGTGATGACAGTGTAGGTTTGATAGATGATTCGGCAAATCATTCTTTTCCGTTTTGTAGTCAGTGAATTCTGTTATGCTCATATGCTTTTATATGGTGGCATCATATATCTTCTATTTTTGCAGTACTGGGAAGATAGACTGTTAAAAGCTAAGGCATTGGGATTAAATACCATTCAGACATATGTTCCTTGGAATCTGCATGAACCGAAACCTGGAGAGCTTGATTTTGAGGGCATTGCCAACATTGAAGCATTCCTCAAACTTTGTGACAAACTTGGTTTGCTTGTGATGCTTCGAGCTGGACCTTACATATGTGCAGGTTAGCTGTAACTTCTAGGGCTACTAATGTACTTTACCTGTGATCTTGGAGCTTCTCTGGCTTACCAAAACGAAAATTTCTGATTTGCATGCATATATTTATAATTGATATTGCGGTTGGGTATGCATGCCCTAACTAACTTTTAGATATCTCTTACAATGATATAATTGTTGAACTCTTACTCTGCGAAGATTCAAGGAGTATGATTTTTGTTTTTTTCAATGTAAGTATATAAAGAATGATTTAAAGGTTCTCCCTCGTATTGTTACCCTGAAGCAGTTTGCAAGATTTTTTTGGCATAATTTAATTGCTATAGGTTGACTCTGAACTTTCTAGCAACATTGAGTTATCTTTACTGCAATTTTAAATTACCAACTTTCTCTACACTGGAAACAACCCCCTCTGTGTTCTGCTTTTCAGTACAAAGTAGTGATAAAACTAAATAATGCAAAATTTAGATCCTTTTCAGCTATACTTCTCTGTCATGTGTTTTATTCTTTTGTTTATATTTTATGCGTGTTCCACAATTGAACTTGCATTTCAATTAAATAGACAACTAGAAATATATATATATATATATATATGTAAATTCATTTATATTTACTCCATCTTTATTCTGCATATATGCAGATTTAGGTGACAGAACAGAAGAATGTCAATTTATAAACTTAATGATCTGTAATACTATTTTGACATGTGATATATTTCTCACTTGATATTGCTAAATAACGAAAGAGAGCATATTTTTCCTGCCCATAGCATGTGGGGCATTCTTGCTATCATCTCTTGGTACAGGTATTTCGATTCCTTATTCCATATATATGGTTAAGAGAAGAACAAAGGCATTTTGATTGAAATGAGAATCTCTACAAGTAGCTTCGCAATGAAATGCACTCATAAGTCATGATCTAGGTACTGTGTTAGTTTTGCTAACATTTAACTATTGATTTATTTCAGAATGGGATTTAGGTGGTTTCCCTGCTTGGTTACTCGCTATGAATCCATCTCCAAAGCTAAGATCATCTGATTCTACTTTTCTTAAACTGGTATGTTTTTGTTATGGAGTTCGGCCATGACTCATGTTAGTTAACATTTTCTAGATTTAAATGTTTTATATGCCCACTTCTTTCTTCATTTCATTGGTAAATTTGGGAAATGGAAAGACGACTTTGTGATCCATCTTTCAAATTTATTTTACTACATGTCCTTCCTCATTCTTCCATGTTCTTTTTGTTGACACCTCGTACAACATCTAATGTTGTTTTTCTATGTTTACACTTACAATTTCTCGATGTCCATAAAATAATCTCCACAGACGAGGAATGTTGATCCTCTTTTTCCACCATACCATTGCTATTTATGTGCTACTGATCCTGCATCAGTAAATGATTTTTTCCATATAATATATACCTCCTTTTATCATTTAGCTTCAAAATATGGATGTTATTAAACTCCGCGACTCCCAGGAGGGAGCATTGCATCTTTTCTGCCACAATATACATTTGGAAGGACCCCTACTTTTGGGGGTTTCTGCATACAACCTTTGCTGTCAGAAGTTTTGTTTAAACCATATATTAATAAACATTATAAAACTAAAGGTGAACTTTATTTGTAGTTCAATTCTGATGATATTTTATGGTCTTGTTGTGTACTCATGCTTGATTATTTCAGCTTGTTCTTATCATATAGTTCGATTTTTGAAGGTTGATGGATGGTGGGGCAATCTGCTTCCAAAATTAGTCCCTTTCCTTTATGACAACGGAGGCCCTATTATAATGGTTCAAGTATGTCTTTTTCTACTAGAGTTTCTTTATTGCATTCAGCATATTGCCACTAGGCCCCAAGATGTTTAAAATCATAAAGCATAAGAAATGTATACTGGCTACAGAAACTGAAAGCGTCTGCATTTTAGTCAGGAGTTGGAAGAATTTCCTTTATAGATTTATTTTCTCCTAACCTTTAATTATGAATACTCTACTATGCCAGCAAAGCAAGTGAACAATTGTTTATTTACATGAGATATTAATTTTGTCATTAGCATCTTGTTCCTGTTGGACTCAAAAGTTACAATAATTTTAATATCAAAGCTTTAAGAAATTCTGTCACTTTCGAGATTTTAATGTCTTCTCTAGGAATCAACTAAAACATTGTTCATCACAGATTGAAAATGAGTATGGTTCATATGGAAATGACAAAGCGTATCTCCATCACCTGGTCAATTTGGCTAGAGGTCATCTCGCGCATGATGTTATTTTGTAAGAGGTTTAATGTTTTTGAGCTCTATTTTTCGTAGTTATTGAACAGTGGCATCTGGATGGAGTATGGTGGGGTTGTTGTTCAAGGAGATTGCAATGCTAATTTGGTCTTTATAATCTACTCCTCCAAATACAAATGGGTAAATTATTTCCGCCAATTAACCAGTTGATCTGAATAAAGTAAAGGTCACCTGTCATCTTAGGTGAAAAATAGAATGAAGAGATGAGAGAATTTATTTAGATTGTGAAGTAGGAGAGACAGAATAGCCAAATGAAAGAAATTGACAAAAATATTCAAACTTCCATCCAAAACACATCATAATCCCATAACTATTATTGAATAATAAAAAATAATATTTACTAAATTAACAAATTGTATTATAACTTTCCTTGTTTCACTTTCCACCACCTTATGTTAGAGCCTTCGGTTCTAATTTGCTAATAGTTTTTTTTTTTTTTTTTGGCATCTTCCTTTTTAATGTATGTTATAGAAATACATCTCAAGACATCTTTGTTAGGTGATAATAAGAGTCATCTCTTACCTCTTGACTGTGGCGTAATGGTTCATGCATGGTTGTCTATGGCTTGCAACTCTACACAGAATTCAAGGGTGTCTTTTGGAAGGTTTTGAGATAGTGTTCATTGTTTACTACTAACATACTGTTCAGAATAAGGCATCATTAACAATCTGGCACCGTATTGCAACTTTAAAAATAATCTAAAAGCTTGTTTTCTGAAGCTTATCTCCAAGTAGTCAATGGTGGCATTCAGGACAAACACATTTCTTCTGAATATTTATTTTTCTCCTTCTCTATAATACTGCATGTTCAATGTTTTCAGATACACTACAGATGGAGGATCTAGGGAACATCTTGAGAAAGGAACTATTCGTGGGGATGCTGTCTTTTCAGGTAAAAGTTCATATATTATAAAAGTTGTTACTTACAAGATTTTATAGACATATTTTCATTCATCTCTCTTCCACTGCCCTCCTCTTATATATTCATGTCACAGCCCCTGTCATCCTCTATCCATTGTTCTATTGTTTAGCTATTAGCTATTATCAGGTATATCAACTGATGCTCACAGAATCTGCATAGGATATATCGCAAACAATCTAATGTATATGCTCTTCCTATAGCTGTTGACTTCAGTACTGGAGATGACCCTTGGCCTATATTCAAGCTGCAGAAGGAGTTCAATGCCCCTGGAAAATCACCGCCACTCTCAGCGTATGTGTGTTCTTACAGAATATTATTCTTAATTATGATAGGAGAAGAACACCACCCCCCGCCCCCAAAAAAAGAAAAAAGAAAAAATGGTATTAGAGCGTGTGAGCAGAGAACCATGTGGCCAGTGGTTAATAACACCTAGCAACCTAATGGCATTGACTAACTTACAACCATAACCCCTATAGCTAAATATATATGTTATTATTATACCATCTTATTTATTGGACGCTAAATACTGATGGTGCTTATCCTTTCAGTGAATTCTATACCGGATGGCTTACGCACTGGGGAGAGAGCATTGCTGCAACTGATGCTGATTTTACAGCTGCCGCCCTAGAAAATATTTTGCAAAAGAATGGTTCTGCAGTTCTCTATGTATGTCTCAACTTCCACATTTTAGCTGTTACGGAGATGACATTTAAATAATATTTTGGCATGGCTGTTTGAATTCAGATGGCACATGGAGGGACAAACTTTGGATTCTATAATGGGGCAAATACTGGTCAAGATGAGGCTGACTACAAGGCTGACATCACTTCTTATGATTATGTCAGAAATCTTTGGGCCCATTGATTCACATTCTATTGATTTTTGTCTTCATCTTATGATTTTTATGCCTCCATCTTGTCCAGGATGCACCAATCAGAGAATCTGGAGATGTGAACAATGCAAAGTTCAATGGTGAGAATGTTAGTTTTCTACTTATTTTCAGGCTATCATTTATGCACTTTTATTGATAAGCTAATTCTTTTTGTTATTGGATAACAAATGCAAACCCAAAGAATACGCTTAGGGAGCAATATTTATTGAATCAGATATAGGCTTGATGTTCAGGAATCCTACCTGAATTTCTGGATTACCGGCTATAATAATGTATCCCCAGCCCAGGGCATTTAGATGGGGTACATGATTTTGTAAGAGAAAGGACTCCCTTTCCCCCATGTAGCCTAAGATTTGTAGATATCATGCAACTTTCAATTGTTACTTGGTACCTGTACATGGATCCAATGAGCCCTTGATGTTGGAACCTGGGGTCAATTGGTAGTTTAAATAGGTTACATTGCGATGTGGTAGATTGTGTGAATGAATGTTGATCCTTTTAATTTTGCTATCTGTTTGTTAGTATCTATCATCGAGTGGATATGCTATGGCTGTGAGCAAATGCATATCAACCGCATGGCACCTAATGAAGGAAACTGAAATATCATGAATTAGATTTATCAGAAATTTTGCAGCACAACTTATTTATTTTTGTGCTGGCTCACTATGATAGATTTTGCTAGTATTTATATATCTAAAAGGTTTTTTAAATGATACCCACGCCCAAATTTTTAAGATTTTGCTATCCAAGCCATCATCCCAAAAAGATATTAAATTTGAGCTTGTTGCACATATTTTAGCTCTTCGGAAAGTCATAGCGCAATATAGTTCGGCCCCACTTCCATCAGTTCCCCCTGATAATGGAAAGGCCGGATATGGACCGATTCACTTACAGAAAAAAGCTTCCTTGTTTGATATGTTTGATCTGGCCAATCCCACCAATGTGATTGAGTCCCAAAACCCATTGTCAATGGAGTCACTGGGCCAGGTATGTGAGAGCTGTTCATATTGATGCAATTGCTAAAGGTATATTATTGGAACTGAATTACCTTGCATCCAGATGTTCGGGTTTTTGTTATATATGTCCAAATACACTTCTAAGGGAGGCAGAAACAATTTATCCATACCTAAGGTGCTGTTTATCTTCTTTCAGTAATTCTCAGTCTTGTTTTCTGGTTATGTATTTATTTTCATTACTAGCAGAGACAATGCAATCAATGTTGGATCTCAGTTAGAGGCTGTATGAGCGTCTCTTTTCATGTTCTCTTCTTTTATGGATTACCCAATAGCTAGCTAGTTTACAGAGCGTCTCAATTATACTTGTGTGAAGCTTATTACGAATGTGCAGGTGCATGACCGAGCTCAAGTATTTATCTCGTGTCCTTCCAAAGAAAGTGGTGCACGGCCAACTTATGTTGGTACCTTGGAAAGACGGCTGAATGACAACCTCAGCCTTCCTGAAACCAAGTGTTTTTCTGACATCAATTTATATATACTGGTATCTGCTTCCTATTCTTGATTAATTTACTTTGTTTATGTACGAAGAAAAGATTCTGGGATTTTAGCTGCTTATTCTAACTCCACCCTTTCGTGGATTAAGGAAGTGGCAATGGATCATGATTGTTCTTTGCGCTGTTAACATAAGCTTGAATTGTCCGATTAATATATAATCACTGGAATCAGAAGAACTACCATCGATTTATATTTCTCATATAAATTAATGGATAAAATATAAAAGCATAAACTCATTAACATATGCGTTTTAGAAGTAAATCCCAGTCCCATGCAAACTTTGTGCATTCACTGAAGTAAAATATTGTACTTTATAGCCCATTCGCTTGGATGTATATTAATTCCTAATATGTGATTATGGAAAGCAAAACATTGTAAAGATCCACATTTCAAGAACAAAAGTATAAAGAGTGTATTTACTGCCCTTGACATTTTTGGAACTTGAATTAAGTGTTTTTCTTCCCTCTTTTATAGGTTGAAAACATGGGTCATATCAATTATGGTCCTTTCATCTTTGACAGAAAGGTAAGGTTATGTGAAGATAGCGCACTTCATTGTTCTTAGATGATTTTTTTTCTTGCTGAATTTTGTCTCAACTTCTATACAGGGCATTCTGTCTTCTGTTTATCTTGATGGGGAAACCTTACACGGTTGGAAAATGCTCCCTATTCCTTTTCACAACCTGAATGAATTTCCAACTTTCAATCCGATTGCACAGGCTTCTTCTTCGACATTCAGTAAAATGTTGATGCGTCGCAAGAAGTTAATATACGAGTCTGGTAAGCACCAAGCTATTCATTTTTCTCAAGTGTCTTTTCTTAGGGTTATAATATCAAAACTGTAACCAAGGCTATCCTTTTGGCAGAGAATACTTCACTTGTACCTGCAATCTACATTGGCCATTTCTCAATTGATACATCAAAACTCATCAAGGATACATTCCTATCATTCAACAACTGGGGGAAAGGCATTGCATTTGTTAATGAATTTAATTTAGGGAGATATTGGCCGGTAAAAATAACTTCTCTTTTATCTCTTGGGTGTATTTTGTTTGTGATTAGATTGCATGGCTATATAGTTTGTTCTCTATATTTATGATTGTTTTCCTCTTGAATTAATATATGTACGTCTTTCTAATAGTTGAGAGGACCTCAGTGCAACCTCTACGTTCCAGCTCCACTCCTTAAGGAAGGGGATAATACCCTGGTATGAGCTATTAGTTATCTGTCTTTAGTATAGAGATGTTCACTATGGGTTAAATCATTTGAGACCAGAATTATTGAGTATTTCATGGAAATTCATCTGTCTTTCTTGTATTGTATGAAGTCTTATTTTTGTAACTTGATGCGCAGGTTATTCTTGAGTTGGAATCTCCAAACCCTGAACTTGTGGTACACTCGGTCAATGAGCCAGACTTCACCTGTCGCTCAACCCTCAAGTCGAAGGAAAGAACCAACATGGGTCCCAAGTCGATGTGAAGGAATTATTTAGTTCAGATAAACAAATATCACATTGGATAAGCTGGAATTTTGTGCGTAATAAATGGAGGATAATATCATTGAAAAGGATCCTAATTCTTCCATTGTTATATTGTTGCACACAATAGTATATATGATTATGAGCTCCTGAAACAACGGTGTAATATACTCTTTATATAATAACAACGTATATTTCTGATTGTTCTGGCCTACGAATATCACTTTGGATAAGCCTTCGTTTGTTTTCCATTTCACGGAGGCCAGTATCTTTGAAAAATATCTCCATTCTTCCATTCTTTTGCCGTTGCATACAGTAGTAATATTTATGAACTCATGAACCTATCCTGAAATACAACTGCTGCTTACCATTAACCTGGAATTCATCACAGTTTGAATGAGAAAAAGCAAAAAAGTGGCTTGTTTCCCCATGTTGGCAACGAAACTGACTTCACAACAATGCATAAGATAATTTCCTTAGGCCAACCAATCGTACGTATCAATACAATGATCCCATATAAACACTAATGAAGACATAAAAGCAGCAAAGTGAATTACATTCTGCATGCACTGAGGACATGTGTCGAACAAAGCCTTTTAATTGCTCAATATTTTTTTTGATACATGACGGGCAGAAAATTAAAAATAAGATCTCCTGCTGCCCTTACTACTTTCAGATGTTTCTAAATTGGAAAACAATCTAACACCTGAATTTCTTAGAGCAAGAAAACAATGTTCCCTCTAAGTGCTTATTACATCACTACCTATCAGGACTACAATTGCAAATACGTACAACACATCATCTCTGTTCCCAGGAAAATCTGGGAATAGGCAACTAAGCTACATAATGTTTCCATCAGACAAAACATCAGGTCCTGCCAAAAGAGAGACAAAATTGTAGATATCATTTGGCAGTGCTTTGAGAAGCATCTTTCTGGTCCTGTTTTGATCCTGCCATAGCTGTAGTTGCTGCGGCAGTCATGGCAGCCGCGGCTGCACCCATCTTAGCTCCCCCTGCAGCCTTCATTGCCCCAGCTATTTTTGCAAAAGCTGCTACGCCTCCTACAAGTATCGCCCTCAATGCAACAGTTGGTTTTACCGCCATACCTCCAAGACTACCTGCAATTTCGAAAAAGACTCATCAAACGAATCCAAACCATCTGAATGCAACACATCCATCACCATTTCCTACAAGCAGGAGCATCGACAATCTAATAGCACTGTGACAGCCCTTTAGTGCTTAAATTGTTGAAAAATTAAAATAGGCTCAGGTTGAAAGATGAGGGGGAACCAAATATATTCTCTTAAATTCTGGATTTATTATTCAACCCTAAAAAGAAAGCAATCGCTCGTAATAATCGTATTTTGGCAAAGGTAACGAGATTGACCCCCCCACCCCAACCAAAAAAAAACCCAAAAAGGAAAAAATGATAATGAAAAATCATGCGGCTCCCTAGAAAAGAGTCAGAACTCGAATAACCCTTGATAAATCTACCAACATCATGTCTGTAGCTTTTGCTTATCATTTAGCATTAAGTAAAGAATCGAGCAGCTAAAACTGTTCCTCCTGACCGCAGTAAAGATTAATGGCACCCAGATGTACATACGTAGTTTTCAGGTTTTACCTCTCAAACGAACAGAATCATCAGGAAACTTCACAAGATAGACAAAGCTTGGAATGGAAAAAACAAATTTTACCCAATGCATATGTTTATCATGATTAAATTCTCAAACAAATAATTTATTGTCTTCATTTCCTTCCATTATTAGCTTAAGAATGCGGCAATTCTCACAGGGGCAAAAAAGATAAGTAAAGAAATCTAAGGTGGGCATTTTACACAGCAATGTTCAGTTTCAGAATTCAGAAGCGAAAAAGCATACCAAATTCAACACGAAAAGTGCAGCAGAACAGGACAGAAAACGGAAATAAAACCTGGAACGCGGCCTAAAAAGGATATTTATCAAGGATCCAAGGTCGGTGCTTATGTAACTAAATTGGAACTTGGAAGGGTGGATGAGACAGGAAGCCGCGAATTTAAGGCACGCCGATCTTTCTTCCTTCCTCGGAGCGAAAAATAAGGTCAGCAGTTGTCCCCGGACCGGACGTTGAGCGGCTGCGGGAGCTCACGACGTCGTTTAATTGTCTTCTCCCTGGCATAACTCTTTTAATCAATTATGAATTATACTTCTGTTTTTATATAAAAATTAACTAATTAATTTAAATATATTTAAAAAATAATCAAACTAGTTATTTATAATAAATAAGTGTTATTTTTTAAAAGTATTGTTATTAATTAATAGTAAATTAAATTATATAATTTGAAAAAAAAAATACTATTCTAGTTCTTAATATAAAAGCCAATTGACTTATTTGAATAGATTAAGAAAACTACTTAAATTAATTATTTGTAATAAATATGTGTTTTCTTTTTTAAAATATCTTTACTAATTAAGTGTATTAGTTAAAATTACTATTATTACAAGGATTATCTTAAAAAATAAATATAAAAGATAAAATAGATTATATTCTTATATTTACAATGAAAATATGATCTTACAGTCATATTCCTAAAAAATCCCGCTTGCATCTTATTTTTAGTCAGTGCAATCTTTATGTTCCACTATGCATAAGACCACTGAAAAAAGAGTTGCTAACCATTAAAAATAAATTGCATATGGATTTTAAAACAAATTTTAGGTATTTTTAAATAACATTTTCTAAAAAAAAATTGCTACCTCCGCCCTTCAATCCTTAATATAATAGCTCATTTGATTTTTATTTTAGTTTTAAATATAAGATTATAATCTATTTTGTTTTATATGTTTATCTATTTTTTTCAAAGATAATTTTTGTAATAATAATAATTCTAAACAATATATTTGATTAACAATTATATTTTAAAAAAAACACATATTTATAATAAATAATTAACATAACTGATTTTTTTTACCTATTTAAATTATTCAACTAATTTTTATATTATATTAAGGATAAGAAATAATTTTTTTAAATTATTCAGCTAATTTTTATATTTTATTAAGAATAAAAAATATTCTTTTGTTTTGAATATATAACTCTTTTTTATAGTGTAATTTATATTATAAAAAGAGTTTTATATTCAGAAGTAAGAATTTTTTAAATTATATGATTTAATTTACCAGTGTTAAAGGGATCTGATGATCTCGTTCCGTCTTCCAGTCTTCCTGTCAGCGTCTCAGCGATAGAAAATAAGCGTTTTTTGTTTTCCCTCCGCTACACAGCTTGAGAGGGAGAAGGCAAAATGGATTACAGCGGAGGAAACTGGACTATGATCCCCACGCACAGCTCCAACCTTACGCAATCCAATCAGGATCCTCTCTTTCTTCATCAACAACAACACCAATTTCTGCAGCAGCAGCAGCAGCAGCAGCAAACGTTTCAAGCTCAAACCCCGCAATCTCCATTTCAACAGCCGCAGCAAAACCTCTATCAACAGCAACATCAACCGCAGCGTCTTCTCCAACAACATCAGCAACAGTCGCAATTGCAGCAACAACCCCAGCCACAACCTCAACCGCAGCAGAATCCTCATCAGTCCTTAGCTTCTCACTTTCATCTCTTGCATGTTAGCTTTCGAAACCCTAATTTCCGTAATTTTATCTAGCACGCTTTCAATTTTCATTCAGATGTGACACGTCAATTAGGAACCCAAAATTCACGGAATTAGTTTAAATGGTTTAAACGAATGAGGAGATGTATGCGGAGGACTATTAGTATTTTGACAGTGAACTTATTTTTGAAAGATAGCAATGTGATTTTTCTTTTTTGGTTATCGTGTTTTTGTTGTTGACCTCTATGATGGTTTTCTTTGTTATGGGCATAGTTGATGGAGAATTTGGCAGAGGTTGTCGAACATGGAAGTAGGGACCAGCAATCAGATGCATTGGTATGATTCTCTCTCTTTCTTCCTCTCATTTTTGTTGGTTTCAGCATTTGCTATCGAATTTGACTTTGGATTATCAAATATCAGCCTTTACGGGATGTTTTGTAACTATTATCAATGACTTTTTTTTTTAAAATGAAATCAATGCAAGATTAATGAGTTGAGCAGCCATTTCGAGAGGTGCCAGCAGTTGTTAGACTCCATTTCAGGCTCCATTAGCACCAAGGCTATGGTAATTAACCTCTCTCTATATATACACGTCTCTAGTTTGCTTTTACCTTGATTTTTAATAACATATTTCTTCCTGTTTTGCCCTGCTTTTGTGTATGTTTACTATGAAGGAAAAATGAGTATTAGTTGAGCCCTTGAACTAAAGATGTTGATTCATCTTTCTGTGGAATAAATGTAGTAGTTAATTAGTAGTTTTATGCAGCACAGATCATTGGGTTTGAGATTCCCCTTTTCATTTTTATAATACTGCCCTGCCGACAGGCCATGATGAGCAGATTCCATGCTGAATTTGAAAAAAAAAAAAGAAAAAGAAAAAAAAGGGGGTTTTTTTTTTTGGGGGGGGGGATTCTTGTCTAAATAGGGCTGTTAAAATCAACAGAAGGTTTAAATTTTCAGCTAATATTCTTTAGTCAGTGGAGTTATTCTTGATCTAAAATTAGGACTTTCTGCATGCTTAACACAGACAGTTGAGGGACAGAAGAAGAAGCTAGAGGAAAGTGAGCAATTGCTAAATCAGCGAAGGTTAGTAGTAGTAGTAGTTGTTTCATACATCTTTGTTTGCTTGAGATTCTATAAACTAAATACATGCCTCCCCTTTTTTTTTTTACATGCAGAGACTTGATTGCTAATTACCGGAAGTCTGTGGAAGAGCTTGTTAAATCTGAGCCATAAGTTCCAGTCAATCAAATGTGTAAGGAACTTTACATTAGGCTATATCTCGGTAGATTAATGGTTATTCTCTTTTTATCAGCAGCAAAGATGCAAATTATTTTGAAGTTGAGATTGACTAGAAACATGTACAGTCATCTTTATTCATATGGAAGCGTAATACTTGATATATTCGAAATGAAATGCCAGTGAAGATGATTAAGTGTAGGCTTAGGGGACTTCACAGCATTTTCCCTAGCCAAACTAAGGAGACGCGATTATAAATGCAGCTTTATTCGTCCATACGTCATTCAAGCATGTTAGTTAACTATATTTGCATCCATTTGTGGTTTAGAGTGGGTTAGTGTGAAGCTAGAAATGAAATTAATTAATTTTTAATCCCCTTTCACAAGTACAGGAGTTGTCTGTTATAGAAAACAAGAGCCCTTGAGTTCCAAAAGGCTATTTGCTTATTAGTTCAAAACTAAACCGAGATATTGTTTTTGCTTTTATTTCTTCTGGTTGTTCCTCTTTACCCCCCTGATACGCTGATTTCATCAATAACAAAAAGAAAGCTGAGTCCCTGTAAGTTTCTTTATTTAACTTCAAAGTTCAAACACGTGTAATGCAGGGTTCTCTATCATCAATATCTGGATATTACGGTTCTGAAGGGAAAAATCAGAAGTTTTGATAAATAGGTTGTAGGAAATGTGGAGGCAACTGGTAACTGGGAGCTAAAATTTCTATATTTAGCTCCTCACAAGTATAGTTTCTTTATTGATTATTGATGTTTCTTCTCTGTAACAGTCCCCATTGTTATTGGGTGAACCTTGTTATTTAATGTCGTTGAAGGTTCTGTAAATGGTAGAACATGCCTTTTAGATTTCTGATTTCTGAGTTCAGCTCTAAACTGCAGCTTTTCATATGACGTAAAAATCTGCCAGAGGATATCCTTATTCGACGCTTTATCAAACACCGTTTACAAGATCAACAATTGAAAGTCTTGAGGGGGAAAATGAGAAAGAAAAAAAACATGAGAGTACAAAACAATTTACAATAATTGCATGGAATGTTTTGAAGTTGATGCGCATGCTAGATCACTAGCTAGTTTTATCCCCGCTTTTTAATTAATTATTATTATTAGCAAAAATAATCAAGATAATAACGTGATTTTTTTTATTTGATAAGGGTGTTCCTTTTGAGACCTAGAATGCAAAAAAAATTTATTTCTTCCAACAAGTGTGATTTTTAGTTACAGGATAAAAATCAAAGGACTCCGATTATTTTTTTTTTGGGAAAGTAAAATTTATGAAAATATCATTCTTAATTTTGGATTTGATATTTTAAAAATTGAGTTGGTCACAGCTGAACTGGTGGACCATAATTTTGAACTTTTTAAAAAAAATGATATAAAGGAGTATTTATAATAAATATAAATATGAAAGCTAACAGTCAGATAAAGTATTTCTATGAAACAATAAATCTCTACAATAATCTCTATGAATAAGGTAGTTGGAGTACATCGAATATCATAATCATAAATTATTGTAAATGCAAAAGTTTAATTTCTACAAACCATAAGGAAAAATTTGTTTCTATGCCCAACCAATTTGATTTTTAGTATCACTTGGAATGCAACCATGACACGTTCACCGATTTTTCTGTTACAACCAAAGTTTGTTTTGATTTTCTTAGCCATGCCAAATTTTAAATTATTACTTTCTTAATAATCTATTTTAAAAGAAATTAATTTTAAAAACTTTTATAAGTAAAATATATTATGTATTATAAAAATGATTAAAATGTATATTTAGTACTTTATCTTTATATAAAATTTTAATTCGATTTACTTTATTTGAAGAAATAAAAACTTCTTGAAAAAAGCTTTTGATTTTACTTGGTTTAGTGCCTGTTTGATTAAGTGATGAGAGTTCAAATAAGCCTATTTGAATCTAAATAAGTGATTATAAAGCATATTTATCCTGTTTAGATAATTTTTATGAAATCTTGATGAATTGTGATTTTACTTTTTCACTGTACTTTTAAAATCAACATTAAGGAGTAGCTTTTGCGTTTGAAGAATTCCGATCAATTTTTATCAACTGAATTTTCTCCAATCTATCCTCCCACACTCTCCCAAAAATCTCTTCCCAAATAATTATATTTAATAATATTTATTAAATTCATGTCTTTTTGGTAATTATATATCTATAAGTGATTTTAATAAATGAAAACCAAACAAAATCACAATTCTTAGAGTGACTTATAAAAAAATATATAAAAACAAAAATCAACATTAACTAACATCATTTATAGCCAATATCACTTATAAAATTTATGATTATTTAAAATTACAGTTGTTGATAGCTAATCCAAATGGGCACTTAAAGAATAATATCCATGGCTCCTTTATAATTAAACCTCATAACTTACAAATACATATATCATTAAAAATTATTATATTTTGGTAAGAGATAATTAAAATATTAAATAAGTAAGATTTTTATAAACTTGTTTCAAAATTCAAGTTTCCATAGAACAGTTGAACTAAGCAACCACTTATATGTTCTAATAACTAACTAATTACTCATCTCCCTCTAAAAGACTTGTAACTAAATTTCACCCAATTTTAAAAAGTGACAAAGAAAGAAAATACTATTTATAACTACAGTCAATCACACAAAGTAAATCAGTTGATAATATAAATATTTTTATTTTATAATTTAAAAAATAAATAAGATCTCCATCTCCTATAACCCCCATAATATATCTATCTGTGTCTCACTCTCACCTCCTGGCATTTCTCTGAATCTCTCATTTCTACAAACCCTAGTTTTTGTTGAACAAAGCCCAGAAATTTCAGGAGATCTCTTACCCTCCAAACCTCCTCCTGTTTCCTCGTCCCCAGCCTTTCCCGGCGGAGACGCTTTCTCTTTCTTCCTTTTCCTTAATTCCACATTGCCATGAACAACGTTAACAACAACAACAACCAGGCTTGTGCTGCTTGTAAGTACCATCGTAAGAAATGCGCTCCTGACTGTATTCTCGCACCTTATTTTCCTCACGATCGCCAACGTCAATTCCTTAACGCCCATAAATTGTTCGGTGTCAAAAAGATCACCAATATCATCAGACACCTCAACCCCCACGATAAAGACCAAGCCATGCGAACCATCATCTTCCAATCTGACATGCGAGCTAACGACCCCGTCGGAGGTTGCTACAGATACATTCAAGAGCTTCAAGCTCAGATCAAATACCACCAGGCCGAGCTTGAGCTTGTTCTTCAACAGCTCGCTCTTTATCGATCCCAACCTCACCTTCATCATCATGATCACTTAAATCTTTATAATAACAACCCTATTGCACCAGTAGTACCTCATCCCACTCATTATCAATACCTTCGACAAGAACCGCCGTACATGATGGTTCATCCGCAGGAACAACATCATCAGATTCAGAATAGTGATGTATGTTTGCAGGAGGATGTTAGTGGTTGTTGGGGAGTGCAGGATTCTGGGTGTCTGTCGTCTTTATCGTTACAGAACAAGAATAATGTCGGGGACGATATGAGGGGTGGTGGTTATATGGGCGATGAGTTATATAATGATCAAAAGTCTTCGTCAACGTCTATGCTTGACATTCATTATGGTGATGATGAGAGGAATAATGAAATCGGTTTTGAACCTGAAGAATTAGTGGATCGCAGGTGTGTCTTTATTATAATCATCAACATTCTTTATGTAGGAATGTCTTCTCTTCATTTATTATTATTATGCTCGCCGCAAGTAGTTCTGCAATCATCTGAAAGTGTCCTGCAATTTCTGTTGCATGTCTGCATAATTTGGTCTTTTGTTAAATATCATTTTCAACGTTGATATATAGTTTGATCTGCAAAACAACCCGGGGTCTTAGTATGGTTTTGGGGCCTTTTTCCCCTTTAATATAAATGAGCAGGCGTAAGCCCAAAAGAACTCATCAGTTAGATAATCGAATCTAGGGAAGACCATAACAATAATAATTTGTGTATCATTAATACTTCGCATTCAAGAGGCAGATCCAATAAAACATTTGAATGGATATCCAGATTATGAGCATAAGAAATTCTCCAATTTCGCCTACCATAATTTTTTCGATGGTATTGGGATAGTATATAGCCCACCATCGTGTGATTAATTGAACCATATATAACCTATTCAGTGTCTAGTTTTCTCCATTTCTCATGTGATCATCGTCAGCTTGATTTATTCTTCTCTTCCCTAGCATGCCTTTAAGTACAGTCTATGTGGATAAAAACAAAATATACCTTTCTTTAATTTGTTATCCTCTCCATTAAAAACTTTGCAACATCTGTTCTTCTAATAAAGCATCCAGTAAGTCTGAGCATGAACTCTTTGCCAAGATAACCCCACTTTAGCCTTTGCATGCCATATAAGTGTTTGGGAGTTTTATTTTGGAATGAAAACGAGTGGCACGGCAAAAATGTGTCAAGCTAGTATATTATTTAGGTGAAATGTTTGCTTTAAATAGGGTGGAATAATGTCAAGAAATATGATGAAATAGCTGAGCTTTTCTTTCTACCAGATGAATTTTTTAGTTTAATTTATATTCTTTTCAATTCCCTTCTCTAGATTAGCTTTTCTTTTAGTGGTCTACCCTTGATGATTAATGAGATATATACATGCAATTTTGAAGCTTCAAACGCTCTTCCTTATATATGTACAAGCGGTGTAATGTCTGGTTTATTTAGTTCATTAATTGTTACAATAATTAGGTTGTGATTTTTGAGAATTATATTAGCGAAACATGTGTGCATCTACGTACATTCAAGTCATACTTATTTTGGGCTATATTAGCTCATGTTGTTAATTTTCCGTTGGTATGTTTGAGCATTATTTCAAAATAAGCATCATGTAGCGTAATTCATTAAATTAAAGTTATAAAAAAAAAAAAGAAACAAAAAGCAAAGGTTGGTTTGGAAATGCATTAAATATAAGTTGGGGGGGGGATATATATAATCCCATAAAGTTGTAATTTTGTTTCTTGAAGATCTAAAATTGAATATCATGTGCTTTACAATAGTAATAAAAAAATAGTAAAGTTTGTTTGAGAGTTTAGACCTGATAAACTCTCTTCGTGGAGGATCCTATACTTGTTATTGACAACGTTGATTCAACCAAAAACTGATGAACTGGTGCAAATAAAACCAGTTCACCATTATACTGCAAAACTAGTGATTTTGAACAGCCTCGTTGGCCAAAAGAAAGAAAGAAAGAAAGAAAGAAACAGTCACTTATTTGACCAATTCCAAGTGGCTGTTGGTGCAAAGTGGCATTATCATTTCCATAATCTTTTCTTCCCATAACATTATATGAGAATTATTCTTATACAAAATATAAATAAGTATGGATTTACTTGATGAGTACCGTGATGATGAAGTATCTTGTATGGATTTGAATGTTAAGTAGTGAAATTTATTATTAAGTTTTTTAATCTGCATTATATTTTAACATTCGAATTAAACATACATTAATTTAATTACTACATGTTCAATGACTGCATCTAGATTTCTAAACATTAGCACTGTGTACTTGAATGTTTTCATTTTGAAAAAATAACTAAACTTTTATACAAGTAGATTTGCAATAGTTTTTATTAATAAATTATTAGATTCAGAGGGCAGTGAATCAAAAAAATTACACGTCAAATTTATTATTTACAAAATTCGACAAATGCTGAAAGCTAAAAGCTAAGCATTGAAGCAGATAATAATAAGAACTAGTGACATGCTTGTTTTCTGAATTTTTTGCCAAATTTGTTATTGTTGCATAATTCTAACGTAAAGGAGTTGTTGGACCGAAATATGCAGTGAAGAAGAAGGGGTTTTGTTCAAGATAGAAAATTCAGTATTAAAAGCAGAGGCTGATTGCATTCAACAAGATCAAGATCATGATCTCAAAGGTGCTGCAACTTTGTTCACTCTCACAAATTGTACTACCTGACAACTTAGTGCTTGTTTGAGATCACAATCAGAATCTCCAAAAGTACTTATTCACGAAACTTGAGACAAGACTCATTTTACATACTTATCTCGGAAACACCATATTTCAAGTCTCAATTTTGCAGCAATCCTTTTTCTTCTACTTCTAAGATAGGAAGCAACAATGCTTCTGGGCGGCTATAGTTACCACTTCCTGTAGAGAAACTCTTGTTCATTTTTTATAGAATAAATAACAGTGTGCCCTCCTTCACTACTCATTCTTCAAAGGCTATTGGAGTTTTTGTTAGGCCTGGAGAAAACTATTCGTCAAGTATAAGAAACTAGCTAACTGATGCGTACTTAATTCTCACAGAAAGGTTTTTATCTATTTTTCTCAGAAAAATTGAATATGTTTCTGGACTGGCAAATTATCAGCCTAAAGGCATAAATACTTCTATCGAATCAGAATATTGCTTTTCAGAGAACTACAAGGTAATCTAAAATGTAAGCGACTGTAGAAATAAAAACCCAGCCAATCCATGGCATTCAAACCAGCATCAAGATATCTGCAAGTGTTTGCCCCAGTAAAAAATCCAGGCAGTTGAGAAAGAACAGAAAGCGCCAGGTATTAGAAGAACACAAACACACACACACGGCCTTTATGGCAAAAGCGTACAATTGGTAAACTAAAACCATCTCCCTGTCTGGTTTCAATATCAGCGGAGGGCGGAGGCATAAAACACACGAGATAATGTGAAGGAGATGCTCTTCAAACACTTCAACGAACCTCTAGCCCTAAGAATTCCCTTCCTTTTGACATTCAATAAAGCATCTCATAAGCTACTAAGAATTGATCTCATCTGCCAATGTAAAATTCCCCAGGTGTTGCTCCAAAGTTCTGTGTCTTATTTTCTTAGGATGACGTTTCAATTTGCATGAAAATAATAAAAACAGCCGCTTTCTTCTTTGGATAGAACTAGCAGGGCTAGTATTTTCCCAAAACATCAGATTCTAAAGTGAACTGTTTGTGCCAGCAAGAGAAAGCCATAGGATAAAATAAAACCTAGTCTCTCAGTTTGCAACAACCAAGAGGTTTGACTCCTCATCATCAATGCATTGTTGATTAAGCACATGATTGGATGCGCAAATTTCACTCTCCATTTGAAGTGCCAATTCCTCGAGCATCCTATAAACTTCTTCCAGTCCAGACTGGACAACATTCCCTGCTGAGAATGTGTAAACTTTCTTTTTCACCTCTATCAAACTCTGACCAGGAAATTTCTTCAAGCCCCTTGACTTCACTGAGATCCTAACCCTAGCAGAATCCTCCCATCTTCCACTTGCAGCATAAATATTTGACAGCAGCATGTAACTTCCAGTTACTTCTGAATTCAGACTCAGAATATATGATTCCGCGTCTTCTGCAATGTCTATATCCCTGTGCATTCTGCATGCATTTAGAAGAGCTCCCCAAATACACTCATTAGGCTCTATTGGCATGCTTCTAACGATATCACTTGCCTCTCGCAAAAGTCCAGCACGGCCAAGAAGATCAACCATACATGCATAGTGCTCTATCAGAGGTTCAACTTTAAATTCTTTAACCATCCTGTCAAAAAGCTTGCGGCCCTCCTCGACAAGTCCTGCATGACTGCATGCAGAAAGAACAACAACAAAAGTGACATTGTCTGGCTTGATTCCAGACTTAATCATCTCATCAAAAGTTCTTAATGCATTCTCGCCAAGCCCATGCATACCAAAGCCACCAATTAATGAATTCCAAGAGACTAAGTCTCTACCCTTCATGTTATCGAACACCAAATGCCCTTCCTCGAAACCCCCACACTTCATATACATATTAATCAAGCCATTTACTACCAAAATATTATCATCCATCAGAACCCTAACAGCATAACCATGGATTTCCCTGCCAAGGTTCAGAGCTGCTAACTCTGCACAAGCTGATAAAATGCTGGAGATTGTCACACAATTGGCCATTACTTTGGCCTGCTGCATTCTTCTAAAAAGCTCAAGGGATTCCTCAATACGCCCTTTTGAAGCAAAACCACCAATAACAGCACCCCAACTTATGACATTAGGTCTAACTGGAGGATGACCATCTGACTTCTCCAGCTGCAAAAATACTGACAGTGCCTCATCACATAATCCACATTCAGCATATGATGATATCAAAGCATTCCAACTTACTATATTCTTGCTCGTTATTTCAGAAAATAGCTTATGTGCATCGAGAAGCTCATGCTTCCCATAAGCGCCTATCAATGCATTTTTCACAAACAAATAATTTTCATATCCACCCTTTACAATATAGCTATGTAGTTCTTTGCTCCTGTCAATTGAACCCATATCAGCACCCACGGATAAGACTACAGCTAGGGCTTCAGCACTGATTTCAGTTCCCCTCATATTCAATGCCTTAAACAACCTCAGTGTTTCATCATAAAGGCCACATCTAGCATGGCTTGACAACAGTGATGTCCATGTCACAGAATTTGGTTGAAATCCCTCCAACTCCATTTGCTTAAAGGTCTTACAAGCACCACGAGGATCATGGTTCGAAGCATAACCAGAAACCATCATATTCCATGAAACTTGGCTTTTGACAACCATTCTATCAAATAATTGGGAGGAATCAACCATTTGCCCAAGCTTCCCATACATATTCAACAGTTCATTCACAACATGAAGATTATTCTGGAAACCCATTTGCAAAGCATGACAGTGAACAATCTTGCACAGAGTGGGGGTGAGCCCATTCGAACAAGCCCTTATAATAGAGGAAAAGTGAACCCATCAGGCCAAAATCCAAGCTTTCGCATCTTAGCATAAAGTTTAAGTGCATAATCATAATACCCATGAGAGACATTGGCTCTAAGAATTGAATTCCACAAAAGCAGATTTTCAAGACCTTCAACTTGGACCGCATCAAATACTTTCCGAGCATCTCTGACAAACCCAAAAGATGCATAAACAGTTATGAGTTTGGCGGCCAAGAAGGCCGACTGATGAGCACCAGAACAAGAAGTTGAGTGTGAACTTGTTGAGATTGCTGGACTGTAAGGCATCGGTGAACAATGACATCAAAGAAATCAAGGAGTTCATTGCTGGTAATGCAGATTTGATATGATGGCTGTGGGCTATGGAAATGGGTGTGGGCTACGTAGTTAGAGCAACTGAGCTTATGCAGCAAGCTGAAAGACTTCACTGGGTAACGCAAAGATATAGATATGAGGCGGTCATAGGCAGCATTTAGCATGAAGTCTCATAGTTATGACAAGATTAAGGATTTATTAACCAAATCTTTGGCACCCGACTGACAAATTCAAACTCATCTTGTCCTTCTTCTTTGAATGAAGATGATAGCCAAAGGAAAACATTATCTTGCCTACAATAAGATACAAATCATTCATGTCAATGAACTCACTCCAATGGTCATAGTTAGAACCAAAGAAAATTTATTATCAAATTACTTCCCTATATCCCTCTATATAAACACCTTTGCAACTGAAAGTTATAAACAACCCCATGGAAGGTTGTCTTCATTAACTACTCTACAATAGTTGCTGCTTCTACTGGTCATTCATGCATATTCAGTACTTATTCTAATTAGCTACCACTTTTCCCCAGTATGAGGTCCTAATAATTTCAGTGTAGTTATTTCTGTCACATGATGGACCGTTCAATAAAAGGTGCCGAAGTTCTTGAACACATAGCCAATCTTGAAAAGGACCAACATCTGACTAGAGTATATGATTTTAAATTTAATATTTCACTGAATAGAAAATTTTTCTACATACTGAAAGGTTTCAACTATAGAAAATACAATATTATTGCTATTCACATAAAGGCTATTCTGATTCACCCATTACTGCGTTTACCAACTATTAAAATCCTTTTGGCCATAGAATTGCAGAGCGACAATTCTTTCGCATATTAAAATCCAATCATATCAAAACTAATCACCCTTAGAGAATACGAGCCCTGCTACTATCAAATTATCAAAATCTCAACTTCTGCTCATGAGTTGATATCATGGCATTATCGACCTTATATTCGGATAACTGAGTGCAAAGTCCACACCCAGACAAAAAATAAAATAAAGATAGATTAATGCTTCGCAGAACCCATTCACCAATTCAAGCAAACCAACAAGTGCTGTGTTCATCACCAGATAAGAAGCGAACAAAAAGCTAAATAAATATTATTTTCCATTGGCATGGACTATTACCCCAATATGTAATCAGCCAAATGAATTCGCAGGACTGCCGGAAAATCAGATTCGGAAAATGCAGCGAAGCTACCGGTAAAAGGTGGCGCTTTGCCGCCGCTTGCTGGTCAGTTCGCAAACAGGGTTAGGAGGCCGGAAGGTGTAGTGCGGCAACTCCTTAGCCGCCCGTTCAATGTTCCCAATGCCGGCGACCAGGTCAGTTACAAGGGTTATATTTTTAGCTCACCCCTTTTTGATGTCAGCGGCTGCCCCGCGTCGGCCTACGGAGGACGATGAGGCTAACAGTAAAGGAATTTACAGGAGTGATAATTTCATTTAAAGACCACAAATTTCGGAAATTTCACAGAATCCGCTTTCGAGGATTACGGGTAAAGCCACTCTCACCACCCCAAGTCCAATCGGTTAGTTATTATAAGATATATTTTGACTGCCGCGATATTTTAACTACTTTACGACGGCTCCCTCCAACCTTTACCGTAGAAACTTGTTTTTCCAATTTTCCTTCTATCTATAAAAAAATAAATAATCTTTATTAAAAAAGTTGATTAAAATTTTCTTTTTATTTATGTCGTCGTCTAAAACGAGAAGTAATTTCATTAATAAGCCACTAATAACTTTTTTTTGCCATTATTATTAAGTTATATCTATGCCATATTTATAACTTGCTACTAACCTTACCTATTTCCTTTTGTGTTGAGGAAATATATTTTTTAAATTTATAAAAGACAAAAATTGTACTAAACATTTTGTTTGTTAATATCTCAATTTTTTTTATTTATCCTTAATTAAAGTTGACCATCTTAAAGTTTAATTCCAATTCTAATTTATGAAAAAAAATCTAATTATTAATTTTTTTAATTTGATTAAAAGTTTTCTCTTTCAAAGCTTAAAACACAAATGGTCTTTCACCTCTTCTAACAAGTGTGCTTCCCAATATTTGAACTTGTGTTCTCTTTCTTAAAGAGTGAGGTCACTTATCATCTCAACCAACAATTTGTTAGTAAAATCTAATTATTAATTATTTGTAACTAATTCTGATACATCTTTACAGTATGTATTTTAGGCAAAATGGAGTATCAACTACTCTTAAAATTTTGTAAAACATAGATTGAAATATAAAACTTCCAAAGACAAATTATGATAGTGAGCTGAAGGAGCATTCTTAACTTTCACATTCCAACAGCAATAAAATTAAATCAAAATAACGATCAAATTCAATAGCAAGAATGATTGAAATTTTACATTCTATTTCTTGACTAAGATTTAGGTCTTGGTAAATAATGCATGAATACATACATCCCAATAAGGATCCCACATACTCCTACATTCATATAAAGAGCAGGAACATGACCACATAAAATGAAGCTTTAACAAACTTTGGTATTATGTGGGCATCTGTAGTAACAGGAAGCATCTCAGTATAAAATAAATCTCGCAGAGCATAAAATTATCAGAGAAGATCAATTTTGCCGCTCTCCACAAGTGCCTTTATAGACTTGTAACATATGAAGTAGAGCACACCTGGCTCCATCTCAAACAGCATCGACCTGCCATTACAATTTTACAACTCAGCAACTTAAGTTCTTACCCCTTTTTTTCTCAGTTTTGCAATGAGAAGAATTAAAACCAAGAAAGTGTATTATGGAATTGCCTGTCATCCACTGGTCCATCCTCAAGCTGGATGCCTGTGAGATATTCTTTGCTTCTGCATACAACAAATGTGTCTAGTTGTGCTTCTGGAACTGAAACATACAAAACAAAAGTCTCATTCAACAAATTTTTCAGTCAAGTACCTGGGATATGAATATTATTCTCAACGGCAAGAATCCAATTCCACCATATCCGATATACAGACTTCTGTGGCAAAGCAAATATATCCCAAGAAATTCTCTCCTCATGACTAAAAAAATAATCAATAGTATTCTCAATGAATTCAAAAAACAAGATAAATAAATATAAAATAATATAGAGCATAAGCAGTACAGTATCAAATATATAATAAAAATAGAGAAAACAGTAAGAATAGCAATGAATTTAAAAGAATATTTATATAAGTAGATTCGTAGCAAAAAGATCCTTAGTAACATAACTACAACAAAACAGAAAATTAGATGGAAATAGTCGCACAAAATTCATAAAAGCAATCTGAGACAATTGGCTCAAATTTCATTCTTTTTTCTCTTTTTCATGTAGACCAAAATAACATTAATTATAAGATAGCACCAATCTGAAGAGCTCATCACTGTTAGTAAATAAACAACAATCTCATGCACAAGGACATGAAACTGTCAGAATACATGAAAGCTCAAACACAAGCAAGGTTTTGGGGCTCTCATGGACTGCATATAGCATTCTTACAATAAAGAGAAGCTACTAGGCTAAGATGTATTTATATGATCAATACAGCGGGCATGTGCATACGTTAGAAACCTAGTCCCAAATCCAAAATATTGTAATAAGTAAGGCTAAAGGAACAAAAAGAAAGAAGGAAAGAAAAGAATATTTGAGTCCAGAATCTCATTTAGAAGGATAATTATTTGCACTATTGAAGCAAAGCTGCTACAAGCAAAGGACAACAACCCTAACCAAGGACTGCGAAGTATAACCACAGACTGTGAGTTAAATATCCTCATTCCTATCCTTTGAAAGTATTTGCTGAGATACAAGGTTTAATCATCCCAGCTAACATACAAGACATCCTATCCACATCCGCAGTGAAACTATATCCTAGCACTGACTGATATTTTAGGCAACGCAACTTTCACAGATAGTCATGCACTAAATGGATCTTAAAAGGATAACGTTATAGATAAAAAAAGCATAAACCAAATTATAAAAATTTTGGATTACTCATGTCATCCTCTTCGCTTATTACAGATTGCTTCTGGAAAGATTGATAATTTTCTGGCAGCTTTGATAGAACACTATCCTCCAAGTGCTGTTTTAGATCTTCAGTACACCTGCAATGACAAAGCTTATTTAAAAAACCAGATAAAACATGCCTTCAGTTCACATGTTTGAAATGAAATTGGAAGAGGGAGAAGGAGAATTTGCCTTGCCTTCTAGCGAAATTTTTCTCTTCTTTAGATAGCTTGTTCCACAGTTCATCAGTTTCGCAATGTGGAACACGAACTTTTCAATCTGCAATGGAAATTCAGTTATAAAATCAAACAAATTACAGTCTAACGACTAGCTCATCTATTTCTGGCTGACATGTCTTCAAATATGTCAACAATTATTGCAGGAATCTTTGTTAACTCCATACCTTCTATGTATCCATAAATTATTTAAAAAATAATAATCGGCCGGGAAAAATAACAGGGGCAACACTGTAAATGTATATTCTTTACCCCAGCCAAATATACAAAGAGCAATTACCACATGACACCTACATAACCCCTAACCAAATAGGTAAGTACCACCTTCTGAATGCGAACTCGGAGGTATGATCTAAGTAAAAACTGGGCTCTATCCAAGTCCATCTGATAGAGAGATATTGAAAGGGGATCGATGCCAGCAGCTGATTTCTCCTCCACTGTCTCTTCCTGCCAAAATGAAAGTGGGGAAAATGAGCACCAAAAGGGTAAGGTGAATAAAAGGAGTACTCTGAAGATGTAATCCTTGAATTGTTAAAACCCATTCAGCTTTAGTCCATAAATCAACAAGTGCGGGAATTAGAACCTAAGAAAATCATAGCACACTTTTGTCAAATGACCAACCATGAAAGAACTGACACACAAGTTGCAATGGCTTTGCTGCTTTTGGGTGGTAACTCTGCACCCACTAATCCTGGGAGACCTAATGTATTTAACATTTCAAGTACCGTAATGTTAGCTAGTTTGCTCGCGAAAAGTAAAATAGCATCGAGAATTCAAACGACGAGATTAATCTCGAAGATACCCTGCCTTTAACAGTGACAACACCATCTAAGACTCATTTCAAAGTTTCAGCTGCAAAGACGAAAATTTTATGCACTAAAATGCCATTTTTAATTGATATTAATCATAAGCAAAGAAAGATAGGAAGAAAACATCAATATCATTTAACAATTTTGAAAATTTCGGCTTTAGGGGCACGCCCGGATTGATACCCAGAATCTGGATAATTTCTGTTTCAAATTCAAAGTTTTAAATAACCAAATAAAGATTAGTAGGGTTTGAAAATACCATTAATTGGATCTGTTCTCTAATGCGGACAATTAAATCGGTCTCAAAACGAAGAATCTCAGGAGCTGCCTTCTCGTTGCGCCATGCTCTCTTGAGCAGCTCAACGTCAGTGGTGGAAAGCAGGGTCTCATAATCGTCTATAGGAAGCGATAATCCTTCCACCTCACTCGAAGCCATTGATCCAATCTCCCACTCCCCAGCCTTCTTTCTTCTTGTTTCTATGTGAGATTTGATATGTCGCTAGGTTACTAGCTGTTTTATTTGCGCCAAAATAAAGAGAGAAAATGATCTTTTTTTCCCGCCAATTGGCAGACCATGACATAAAAACCGAAAGAAAAATTGTCACAAAAAAAAAAAAAACAGAAGAAACCGAAAAGAAAAAAAAACATTTGATAACATATAATCTATTCTATTCCTTCCATTTTTTTCTCAAAAAATAGCAAATCAAAGTTAAGGGCTTATTTGTTTTGTTCTTTATTTTTTTATTCTCAAAAATTGTTTTTAAGAACAAGTTTTGAAAATAAAAACAAAAAAATTTGTTTCAAAAATAATTTTTAAAAAATCAAATTTGAAAAAAAAATATAAAAATTATACTTTGACAAGTAGTAGTTATCACTGATAGTGATAAGTAGTAGGTAGTAGGGGAGAAGAGAAAAAGATTTCTCAAATTTTTCAAAACAAAAAATATAAAAGTTGTTTTGGTTTTTTTCAGTTTTTAAAAACATGTTTTTTTTTTTTTTTTAACAATCAACTAAAGACAAATTGCTAAACAAGTTTTTTCATTTTTTTGTTTTTAAAAACAAAAATTATTTTCAAAATAAGAAACTAAACAAGCCCTAAATGTCTCATTCTCATTTTTGTCCTATTTTTATTTCACATAATTTCGTGAATATTTATTTTTGGTAACGTCTTTATATGCACATATACATAATTGTAACATCATTTTAATCCAAAAAAGAAAAAAGAATTGCAACACTCTTGTTTCATATTCTGGTAGTGATGCCTTTTTTGTACATTTTACAACCGTATTGCATATTTCTGCAAACCTATCTATTTCTTTAATAGTTAAAAATATAGAGATATCAGTAAACTTTTAAAACCACAAGCCAATATACATTCTATTGATTATGTAAAATATGCAAGCCATATACATTTTAACTATGATGCTAAGTTTGAAACTGCGTTATCTATCTGAAAGTAAAAAAGAATAAGAAATATTAATTTTATTACCACTTGAACAATTATAAAAATACATTTATTTTCATTTATTAAATTTTTATTAACCAGACACATATTTGAAATAATTACTATATTACATAAATGGTAAATGTGTTTTATACGTAACTTGATAGGACAATACCTACAGCTTGCAGTGCAAACGAAGTCATATCTTTTAATCTCAAGAACAAGATATATTTCCAAAAATTAAAAGGGAACTTCCGCTAATGTAATATTATAATATCATGTTTTCTATGGACTCAATCATTAAATCTATTTGTGACAACACATGGTGGATACAGAGCTTCAGGTTTCGCAGCAATGAGTTCAAAATATGGAGAAAGAATCAAGAATGGACCCCCTGGCTCTGTAAATGAAGTACAGAGCTTTCGATCTCGGGGGCGAGTTCAGAGTCAGAAAATGTTTCTCAAAAATGGGTTTGACCAAGTTAGATGTCCAACTCATCCATATCTGCCACACGCTTTGGAGGTTTATTTGGGCCAGTCGTATCATCCACCACAGACGCTTCAGTTGTTGTCAGCAGCAAGGACACACTGCATTTACAACAGCAAAATTTAATTGAGACAGAGAGACAGACAGACAGACAGAAATTCATAATATATGTATTAGCCAATAGCTATGCAGCCCAGTGACATGAAAACTCCCTCAACAAGCGTGTGATTCAAGTTCAATCCCACTAGTCACCTCAAACCGTTAATACTTGCCCCTCCAATTCAAAAATAGGGAGGGGAAAAAAAATAAAACAAAAGAACATGCGCATGCATGGGTAGAAAATGGTTATGCACTGCTAAAATTTCACCTGGCAGCATCAACCAATGCTGTTCTGACAACTTTAAGAGGATCTATAATTCCGGACTTCACCATGTCAACATAAACACCTGCTTCAGCACACAGCAACATAACCTTTAATTACCAAAAAGCAACAAATAATGACTTGAAACCAACCCTAGGACAAGAGTAGAGCTACTCAAAAACTTCATAGCAAACATAAAACATCATCATAATAACTAGGATTGTGCCAATGTACTTAAACCCAACAGAAGTAATTCCACTTTGAGAACAAGCAATAGAGCACGCATATCTCTTAGTTCTGAAAAATACTAGCAGAAAGTTATAACCATATTAGGGTTCCGCATGGTTTCACATTGGAAACAACTGAGAGTACAAACCTTTAGCGGCGTCAAAACCAAATTTATCATCGTCTTGTTCCAACAATTTCCCAGTAACTAAAGCACCATCAAAACCAGCATTAGAAGCTATTGCGAATGCAGGTGCCTGCAGAGACCAATATGATTCATTAGTAATTATTTAATCTAGAATGCCCAAAGAGGAAGTATTAGCCAATGAAACAACCTTAAGTGCATTCTGAATTATCTCCACTCCTCTCTTCTCATCCTCATTTCGGGTTTGAAGGTTGCCCAATATTTTACTCGCATATAAGAGAGCAACTCCACCGCCTGATTAGACAAATTACATTTTAACCAAAATAAATGGAAAGATCTCTATAGAAAGGGAACAAGAACAAATTGCATATGCTGCTCGGCTCTTTCTGTGTACTTTTCGATCAAACAGCAAGGAACCAAAATGAGTCACCTGGCACAATTCCCTCCTCCACGGCTGCTCTTGTAGCATTTATGGCATCAGTTACCCTATCCTTCCTTTCCCCCCACTTCTGTTTCACTAGCCCCTCCAACCTGAAAAGGTTTGGTTCCATTTCCAAGTGGGAATAAGGTAAACATATTTATTATTATAACAGAATTTATAAGGCTATGAGACGAACCTTGAAAATAGCTACACCACCAGAAAGCTTTGATAGTCGTTCCTGTGCTTTCTCTTTATCAAATGTGGCAGTGCTCTTTTCAATTGCTGCCCTGAGCTAAAATGTTCACATTTTAAACATCATGAGATGCCCGGCCCAAAAAAAAAAAAAAAAAAACAAACAAACAAAACAAAACAAGGGAGCATCTTCAAGTTACGAAGAGAATAGGAAGCATATCCAATCAAAGAGGAAACAGTAGAAAGAGAGGAGGGAGGGCAGAGAAAACATTTCTTCAGTTAAATCCGGATGAGCACATATTAAGTAACATCTGTAGGCTGTAGGTGATATTCTACTGCTCTCAGAAAGGGTCATTTCTGTTTGCGGAAGATATAAATATGCCCTGTCACCTCACTTAACAGATATATAGACGATCATTTAGGTGGAAGTATAATAAAAAAATCTCATGCTATTTCAAGAAAACAACACTTTATGAGAAATCCTACCTGCTCACATCTATCTTCAATGAGCTTCTTATCCCCACCGCCATGTAGAATAATAGTATCATCAAGAGAAACAGTAACCTGTTGCACCTTAAATTAGTTAGGCACTTACGTCCGGGGAGCCTAAAACTCATTATATAGCTTCCAACCACAGACCTTTCTGGCAGAACCAAGCATTTCTAGCTGGACTTTATCTAGAGTCAAACCTCGTTCTTCTGTAATGACCTGCTTTTGAACACATCATTAATATTCACACGACACATAACAAGCTCTATTCCAACATGCTAGACCTCAGCGACACAATTCCTTGATCCTTATTAAAAACTAGAGGGGACAAATCTACTGCACAATATCTGAAAAATA